GGGACTAAGTCTTGGTGCTAATAAGATGTCAGCTACCAGGAAAGCTCATGTAGATAAACAATCCTGGAATGTCCACCACCAGCTTTTATATCCCTTAGGTGAGCTTCTGCTACCTCCTCAGGAGACCTTTCAAAACCAGCAGGCAAGTCTGGCCCAGGTTCCTATGAAATCGCTGCCTCTGCCCTTGGACCTGGCACACACGAGATTCTGTGTACGCTTCCCCAAAGAATGAAGTCTCTGTTTCCCCTAGTTCTGTCGGACTCCTGGAGTTAAGCCCCGCTGTCCAAAACCAGATGTCCTGGGGTCTCCTCCTCCTACCAATGCTGGAACCCTGGGATGGGGAGCCTGACATGGGGCTCAGAACTCTCACTCCTGTGGGAGGGCCTCTGTGACTTTATTATTCTTCATCTTGTGGTTCTCCCAACCCGGGTAGAAAGGGGCCCGATTATATCAGGAGCATGACACTCCGAACGTCCCCGCTGGGGTTTCCAGTTGAAAATCTTTTTTGCTAGGTTCCAGTCTTTTTTTTTTTTTTTCCAGACGGTTGTTTTGCAGTCAGTTGTGGTTCTGTAGTCACGAGAAGAGGTGAGCTCGTTGTCCTATTACTCCACCATCATGTTCGGAAAATCCTCTAACTCAATACTCTTAAACCAGGGAAAAAACAGCCTTCTCATTCAGAAAATAAGACTTGGCTTAGATGTGAGAAAAGCCTTCCTAAATACTTTGAGACACTGAAATATGTGCATATATGCAAGCTAGGGATGGAGGAAGGTTGACAGGGGTCACAACAATGAGATTTGATTCTGTCTTAGATGGTTATGAGAAAGTAATCATCATATAACTACAGGTACAGGTCTATCTAGAGATATGGGTGAAAATAATGATCCTTTCCAGTTTCGGATGACTATAAGGAAGACAACTATCTCCTTATCTTATGCATCATAACATAAAGTTTAATTTTCCAACAGTGAAAACTGTCCAAATTTGATCAAGCTAGTTTGTGGGCTTATGAGTGCACATGAACAAGATAGATGACCTTTTGCCAGGTATATAAAAGAAAAGGTAAAAATTGGGTATCTAATGTCCCTTTCTGCCTCATATCTAAATGTAAAATATTGTTGTAATAGAGAAGTCCAAAGACTGAGTTACATACTAACCCTACTAACTCCATGACTGATTCCTAATACTTACATATACAGGCATATCTCAGAGATATTGAGGGCTTGGTTCCAGACCACCACAATAAAGCTAATATTGCAATAAAACAAGTCATATGCATATTTTGGTTCCCAGTGCATTTAAAGGTTATGTTTATATTACTACAGTCTATTAAGTGTGTGATAGCCTAAAAAACAATGCATGTGCCTTAGCTAAAAAACACAAAAGTC